CAAGGCAGGTTGATTTGGCGCGCCAGCATGGTGTGAATGAATCTACGATTCGAACAATAAAGAAGGATGCAGCCAAGATAAAGGAGCACATGAAGATCACAAAGTCTACAGGTGCTTCTATGATCAAGTATTTTCACAACCAGGTGCTTCTCACAACCAGGTGCTTCTCAAGACAGAAAAATTACTTGTGAGGTACTTGGTGCGTCAGGCGCGACGGAACATGGCGGTCGACACGCGCTCTGTTAAGGACTACGCACGTGAACTGTACATGGCAGTGGCACGAAAGATGGGAATTACAGAGCCCAAACCCTTTAATGCTTCCTCTGGGTGGTTACAGAGGTTTAAGATCCGGAACAAGATCACCAATATAAACATTGGTGGTGAAGAAGCGAGTGCTGACCGTGCTGCGGCTCGGGAATTTCCTCCGTTTTTACGTGAGATTATGGAGGAAGGACAGTACAGTGACGACCAGGTGTTTAACATGGACGAATCTGGTCTTTTCTGGAAAAAGCTACCTTCCAAGTCCTTCGTTGTAAAGAATGCCAGCAGGATTCGGGGCCAGAAGATGCAGAAGGAACGCATCACCGTCCTGTTTACCACCAATGCCTCCGGTACCTGTAAGCTCAAGTTATCGGTGATCCACACAGCACGCAAGCCGCACGCCTACAAAACCATGGACATGACCAAGCTAAATGTCCACTGGCTGACCGCACGTAAGGCGTGGATGTTCTCTACACTGTCCCTCTCCTGGTTTGATGACTGTTTTGTTCCCGATGTAAAGAAATTTTGTGAGCGACAGAATGTGCCATTCAATATTTTGTTGCTGCTGGACAATGCACCAGGACACTCGCCCCTACTGTTAGATCGTCACCCCAACATAAAAGTGGTCTTCCTTCCTCCCAACACTACGTCTATATTACAGCTCATGGACCAAGAGTTAATCTGTAATGTAAAAGCTGCATTCTCAACAAAAAAATTCAAACTCCTGAACGACTACACCAACATCAGGGAAGAGTTGCGTAACCTGAGTGACACCACCACCGATAGCAAGAGCGAAGAAGACGAGGATCAACAGTTGGCACAGCAAAAAATACTGTTCAAACAATTCTGGAGAGTATTTAACATCAAGAAAGCTGTGGACTTCTTGGTGGAGTCATGGGATCAGCTGTCTATTGCTACAATTTGTCACGCATGGAGACATGTGTTGCATGGAATACCAGGTGAGAGGAGGAGTCAATCTGTGACTGGTGAGGTTCAGAATGTTGCAGTAGCAGTGGACCTTGCCAGAGAAGCTGCGCAGACTGTTACAGTTCCAGGCTTCTCCGAGACCACCAACGACGACATCCTGGAGGTGATCAGAGATCCTGAAGTGACTGCCGACGAGATGATGGAAGAAGAACACGTCAGTGAAGAGGAGGAAGAAGGTGCGTCAGTCTCCGAAGAACACAGTTTAACTCATAGTGATATTAAGGGTGCCATGGAGTGTGCAGAGAAAATGAAGTCCTTCCTTTCCCGCGACAATGACGATGACCGCTATGAAGTCTTCCATACCCGGCTGGTGCAGGCTATGGAGCCGTACATCAAGGTGTATCACGACAACATAAACACCAACCGTCAAAAAAGCATAACCGAGTTCTTTGCCCGCAACCCACCACAGCCAGCCCAAGCCAGTGATAGTGACAGTGAAGATGACTTTGAGGGATTTGTCAGGGAAGCCCTGACAACTGCAAGTGACAGTGATGGTGCTTCACCTAGTAATGGTGATTCACCTGAGGGCCAGTAATCTGCCCTCTGCCTCAGAACCAGCCTCCATCCCCGTATGCCGACCCATCTCTTCTACTACCGTAAGTGTTCCACCTAAGTTTTAGTTTTCTAACCTAACCTTTATTTTTCCTATGTTAACCTTTATTTTTCCTAACCTAACCTCTTCTATATTACTTGTTTTTTCATACCATCATAAAGTTAAGATAAAATTTTTACTACAACATAGTTGTGTGTCGTCAAAAAGTGGAGTTTGGGGATCGGCCCGGACTCCATTTCAATTAATCCCATATGTTATGTTATTCACTTTACGCGGGACCCTCCGGGTTACATTAACCGCGTAAAGTGAGGGTTAACTGTATATAACTGGCTATTGAGGTGAGGAGAGCGCAGGGGTGATTTAAATGAAAGTGGTTATGTTTTGGGTAAAGAGATCTATCAGTTGTGGTGAGCAGCTCTTCCACCAGGTTTAATAACTCGCACCATAACATTCATCTTAAACAACACCTTTATGTGGTGTTTACACTTGATTCTACTCTTTATAAAATGGTCATTATTATCTGTTGCCATGTATGTTTGGTGTCATTTGTCTTGATAATAATCAGTGAAAGAAGTAGTGGCAAATGTGTTCTCTGAAAGCATGAATTCAGTTGTAATTTTGACAATATTCTTTATTTCAAAATTTTCCACACTCATATCTTGAGAGTTAATGTTTTCAAGATGTTATATCTTTACATACATTAATTCAGCATTAAGGTGAGCCAAATCTGGGTATACTTAACAGTTATATATGAATTTATTTGCGATATAACAATATTAATTGAATAATATGTATTGACCAATGAGTTGCAAGAGGGCGGGGCATCTTGGCCCAATACTGTATAGTCAACTAAAAAAAGAAAACAAAATTAGAACCAGTTTGCAAGGCAGCAGATTGGCTGGAAGTGAAGGATGTTATATAATCTATCTTGTTATCATCAAGATGCTAGTGTTGCCAGAGAGTTTCACATGCTAAATTATCAGAGATCAATACAGATAAGTTATTATTCTATAAATATAAATACAATATATTAAATACTACCTTACCACAAACTGACCCTAGGCCTCGGCTGCAAGCTTCGGGTGAACAGACTATAGATGCAGCGCTCTCTATGCTGTCCACACAAAAAATTTCATGACTTTTAACATATTTTTCACTGACTGTAAGTACACATGCATAATATGTGTGCCTACACAAACAAAAATAACTAAAGTTTGCTCTGTTTTCTCACTGCTTATGTTCTGCAGTCTGTTAGCAAAATAATTTTTAGTTTTACATGAATTAAGTACAAATACTAAGTTTGCATCCACACCAATTAACTCTGTGAGAACAATAGGCAGTCCCTGAGTTACAAACAGGTTATGTTCCTGGATCCTGTTTGTAAGTCACAACAGTGTTAATGTCATAGGTTAGGTTAGATTAAGGCACAACCCTGCTCATACAAAGCAACAATAATATCCCAGACATAAATAATAATGTAAATACTGTAAATAAAGTGATGGTAAACAAAATAGAATAGAAGTATATAAAAAAATGGGATTTTAGTTACAGATTATTGCAAAGAATATATTGGGATCCCGTTCATAAGTGTGGGTGTTAGTAAGTTGGCCGGTTGTAACTCGGGGACTGCCTGTATTCAATAATGCAAATTTTTCACATGTTAGGCACGGAAAGTACAGTACAGTACAGTACAGTACAATACAGTACAGTACAGTACAGTACAGTACAGTACAGTACAGTACAGTACAGTACAGTACTGTACTGTACATACAAAATCTTCCCTCTCCGCTGTACAATTATATTGTTTCACACAAGCTATCAGTATATGTTTGAGGCATAACAATGGTTAACATTTAGAGAATATGTCAGTGTACAGTACTGTAATGAACATTACACAAGAGAATCTTATTAATGTCTAGTCATCAGACAAACAGAAAAATATAGTACAGTGGGTCCCTGACTTACGAACGAGGTTAAACTGGAAATTTACAGTATTTTATTTACTTTCATTTACTGTATTTTGTCATTCTATTTCTTTTTTTGTCTTAAATTATGTGATTTTAGATGTATATAAGGTCTTAGGCTATGATATAGTGGGATTTTCAATATTATTCTGTAGTGCAGTATGCATATAGCATGTATTCCGACTTAGCTACAAATTCGACTTATAAGCGTCCTCAGGAACGGAACCCGTTTGTAACCCGGGGACTCCCTGTATACACAATGTATAAAATATAGTGTAGTATACACAATGTATAAAATATAGTGCAGTATAAAGAATGTATAAAATATAGTGCAGTATAAACAATGTATAAAATATAGTGCAGTATAAACAATGTATAAAATGTAGTACACAAAATGTATAAATATATCAAGAAAAAGTAAGAGAACTACAGTACAATCATTACAGTAGAAACTCGATAAATTGGACTAATTGGGACAGACCCCAGTCCGAAAAAAGCAAATATTTGTAGGAATGTTACCAATGAGGACCTTAAGCTAAAATGCTGGGTTTTACTGTACAGTGGTCCCTCGGTTAACGAACGGTTTGGTTAACGAAATTTTGGTTCACGATTTACCTTCCATAAGAATCTTCAATTCGGTTAACTAACAAAAATTTGATTAACGAAATCCTTACGAACATCACGTCTTGTTGTGAGCATCAGCTGATAGGTTAGACTGCCAATTCAGTAATCTGTTCTATGTTTACATATGTTTCCAGTGGAGTAAATATCAATAAAGTTGTGCTCTTTAATATTTTTGCATTTTTTATATTAACATTATTAGTAATTTTAACATTTATTTAACACATTGATAATATATGCAGTACAGGGGACTAGTTATTGTGCCCCATCAGACGCTTGACTCAGCCACAAGGTGTCAATTGGACTTTGAAAACAGTGGAGTGAACATCTATTTTGTTGGTGTCTTGAATATTTTTGCATTTTTCATTGAAATTATTGGTCATTCTGAAATTTAGATAACATATTCATAATATATAGCGCAGTGCAGTGTTGATTTAAAGAAAATAATCTTGAATTACACCAAGTGAATTTAAAATTTTATTGGTGAAATGACGGCATCAAGCATGGGTCCCCTGAAAGGTGATTTCTCCTCCATCCTCACTTCTAATTCCCTTCATCATCATCAACCAGGAGCCTTCTACATACACACCTCAACGTAAGTGTACTTTACTACATTCTTTTTATTACTTTGTATGTACCATTCGGTGAGCTGGAACCAATTACCCAATATCCCATTGAAACAATGGATTCACTTAATGATCGACCTTCTGGAACGAATTGTGTTCATTAACCGAGGGACCACTGTACTACATATTACCTCAGCAGCTGAAAATGCCTTCAGTATAAAAACCAGACGTTTCTTACCAACAAATTATCTCTATAAATGAGTAGTTGAAAGTGAAGTTTGTGGTGTGCTTACTTCCTCGTCATCATCTTCAAACTCTTGCTGACGGGCAAACTTTAAAAACACTTGTTCCAAGGTCGTCTGACTTAGAGCATATTCTTCCACAAGTCCATCTGCTTTTGCTGTCAATAGAAAAACAAAAAAATCAGCTAATGAAACAAAATACAACTTACTGCACACAAAGTTTTCATCAATTATCAGAAGAACTTGACTAATAGTCCAGGGAAATTAGGAAAAAAGTTGAACTAATTCATAATGAAATGATACTTGGTAAAATTAGTGAGAATACGTTCCTAAATAAAAGACCATCTTGAAAAATTGGCAGCCATTTGAGGTTTGACTCATTAATCGTTGTTCTGGAGCGATGACACTATCAAAATAAAAGAGCTTAAAATTCTGCATGTGATGTTATATTTCACTTTTGTGTACAATTAAAACTCTGAAGAAATAATAATTTAACCTCTCCACTGCCCATGTCCCCCCCCCTCTATTTTTATGTCACCTGCTACCCTTTTACACACCACTTATGAGGTAGTGTACATGGCATTGCTTTTTTAATATGGTACCTCCTGTAGGCCTATTCCATGATTAGTGATTTTTTGAAAGTTTCATTCTCCTCACAACTTGTTCAGTACTAGAAGTTATACATGAAATATTTAAGTTAAGTTTGGTGCCATTGTGATAATTATGGTCTGTACCAAAAGAACATTCATTCTCAGGAGCATCGTCTACAGTGTAATCTTCCACAGCACAACCATCATCAGTCTCCACGTTTCCACTGTTCATCAAAATCATCGTCTTGAAAAATAATGTTGCAGGACACAGCATTGGTAAAGGCTGTTCCTTGACAGTGACTGCATATATTCAAGCATCTTAAGCCAACTTTGTGTAGCTGCATCGTCCATCACAACTCTTTTTGCATGTGCAGGATATCAGATCCAGAAGCGACTCTGGACCTGCTGCCGTAATAATTGGAATAGGGATGAATTTTTCATCCCCAAGAGTCAGGTGATAATAGATTACCTCGCCACAACTGAACCTGATGGTAAAGATGCAGGAAGTGCAAGCCTGCAGCTGCTGCTGTAGGCGGCAGTCTAGCAAGTTTGACTGCACAATTGCTGTGACCAAATGCTTTGTCAGCGTTCTTGAAGCGATACCGATTTAAAGATGTTTCACTCTTAGGTGTCCCATATAGTGCAAGAATGAAAAGTTCTTCAACTCTGGAAATTTTATCTGAAGATGCATTCTTGTCATTAAGTATGTTCAGGGGATAACGTACGTCATTACACTTTTTAAACAACGTCATAATTTTTTTCTCCCTTTTGAAATACCGGTACACAAGGTGTTATGTTACAGTCACCTGCTGCAGGCAAAAAGAGAACGTATTAGTCGATCTCTTTATGGGTAGCCTGCAGTTCTATGGAGGAGTACAGCTGATTCCTTAAAGAGAAGTATCTAACAAGTTCCTGCTCCCTGAAGTCAATGCAATGAGCAAAACTAGGAGATCTACTTCTTCATCTACAACAGCAACACAAACTGAAGAAACAGATACAGTGATACAGTAAGTCCACACTTAACGTCATTTCGGTACTACATCGCTAAACTTTAGCGACCAAAATTTTTTTTAACATCCCATTTATTTGATACTAAGTCGTTTTGCGTCATCACAGACTACTTTTTACAGAGCATCACCCGCTCTTGTCTGGCCGCTCTATTCTCTCTCGGCTCGGCGCGCTGCCCTCACTCACGGAACTTCACAGCGTCCCCAAGCGACGCCGAGCCAGTCTTTGTTACGACTTCACATCATTCGTGTATGCTTAAGTGTTTTTGCTCTAAAACTGTACTATAACCAATCGAAATGGCTTCCAAGCGCCCATCAAGTGCTAGTGTAGTGAAGAGGCAACATAAGACCATTACCCTGGCTACGAAAATGGATGTATTAGCCCGATTTGAAAAAGGGGAACGTGCTGTGGACATAGCCGCTGTGCTTGGTCTAACCCCCACAATGGTGCGTACTATCAGGACCAACGCTGACAAGATTAAGGTTAGTGCTGGAAGTGAATCTTCTCTGAGTGCAACTAGGACAACTCGTACTAGAAGCACTGTGATAGAAAATGTGGAAAGATGCTGGCAATGGAGGACGAGAATCAATGCAATGTGCCTGTGAGCCTTATGATTATCCAGCATAAGGCCAGATCCTTGTTTGATAACTTAAAGGAAGAAGAGGGTGAAGGATCGAAGGAAGAGACCTTTATGGCCAGCCAAGGATGGGGCAGCAGAGGGTGAAGGATCGAAGGAAGAGACCTTTATGGCCAGCCAAGGATGGGGCAGCAGAGGGTGAAGGATCGAAGGAAGAGACCTTTATGGCCAGCCAAGGATGGGGCAGCAGAGGGTGAAGGATCGAGACCTTTATGGCCAGCCAAGGATGGGGCAGCAGAGGGTGAAGGATCGAAGGAAGAGACCTTTATGGCCAGCCAAGGATGGGGCAGCAGAGGGTGAAGGATCGAAGGAAGAGACCTTTATGGCCAGCCAAGGATGGGGCAGCAGAGGGTGAAGGATCGAAGGAAGAGACCTTTATGGCCAGCCAAGGATGGGGCAGCAGAGGGTGAAGGATCGAAGGAAGAGACCTTTATGGCCAGCCAAGGATGGTTTCAATGATTTACGCGTCGGTATAACTTCCACAACATAAAGATGACTGGTGAAGCTGCCAGTTCAGATACGGTTGCTGCCGAGACATTCCCGCCAGAAGTCAAACAGATTATCCAGGAAGGAGGCTATTTATCGAAGCAAGTCTTCAATGTGAATGAGACTGGTCTCTTTTGGAGGAGGATGCCTGAGAGGACCTATATCTCCAAGGAGAAGAAAAGAGCGCCAGGTTATAAAGTGGCAAAAGACCGCTTGACGCTGTTGTTTGGCACTAACTACCAAGAGGATGGCAGAAGTGTTCAACAGGATCCAGCAAGGTATGCAAATCCTTATAGATGACGACCCAAACAGAGAACGTAGCTCAAAGGTTCAACTCAGCATTGATGACAGTCTTGGTTGTTACACTGAGACCTATAAGGAGAAGAAGAAGAGTAGCACCAAGCTGTCAACACTGGATTCATTTGTTCGTCGTGGGGCGACAGAAGCAGCTTCTTCACAACAGCCGGCAGCCGAGGAGGAGCAACCAGCAGCCGAGGAGGAGCAACCAGCAGCCGAGGAGGAGCAACCAGCAGCCGAGGAGGAGCAACCAGCAGCCGAGGAGGAGCAACCAGCAGCCGAGGAGGAACAACCAGCAGCCGAGGAGGAGCAACCAGTGGCGGAGGAGGAGCAACCAGTGGCGGAGGAATCCCAGTCAGAGCAGGAGGAGGAGGAGGAGGAGGAGGAGGAGGAGGAGGAGGCAGCCGCAGTCTCAGTGATTCACCACCCTCCTCCTCTCCCACCTTCCTCCTCCTCCCCTCCACTACCCACCACACACTCGCTCTACCACCTCCACCCATCAGTGAGTACCGATACAAACTTAGTAGTTGTATATGTATGCATTATTTTCTATATAAATGGCAATGATTTTCTGTATATGTAATGTATTTCATGGGTCAAAGGGAGGCTGGGGAACATAACTCCTGTATTCTATCTATTTCTTATGGGGAAAGTTGATCCGCTTAACGTTGTTTCATATAACGTCGTATTTTCAGGAACGTAACCCCGACGTTAAGCGAGGCCTTACTGTATCTCCATTAGCTGGAACAACTGGTGCAGTCTCTTCCTGGAATGAGAGATTTCTGGGTAATGAGACAACTATCTTGAACACGAAAAATATCCCCCATCCCTGTAATTTTCCGGGTATTGGAAAACTTTTCTCGGAATTTTCGGAAAATGACCATGATTTTCATCTCTCAAACCCGAAATAAAAATCCCCCATCCCCGGAATTTTTCAGAATTTTCTGGGTTCCAGAAAATGTGCTGCTCTGAAAATCGTTCCCAAAAACAGACTTTTCAAGAAAATTACAGTTTTGGTAATGATTTTCTGAGCAAATTTCAACTCCGCCTACCAGAGAGTTCCGGGTTTGAGGGATTCCGACCAACGTAGATATTACTATTGGATATCATGATTTACAGACTCTCGAGCTGCCAAGCAAGATACACCACATATTCGACTGCTTATTTCTTCTCCCCAAGAATCACCCAGCTCATTTGCTTTTCTAGAACTTTTCTTTGAAACCTAAAGTGCTAACATTCCAGGGGGTGGGGGGGGGTGCAGGGTGAAGGTCGGGTCGTGTTGCATCTCTGTAACAAAGCATATTGGCATCTCAGGCCTTCATTGTTGAGCGGCGGCATTTGGACAGTTATTACATAAGAGCGTCAAGATCGTCTTCGTGATGTGAATGTGTACTAGACCGATGTAGGATTTTTAATGTTATTCGCAATTGTATATTGAAATATTCTGCCGACTTGACTGGAGCAATAAGCCATGGGGATACAACCAGAAAATAATTGTCATATGAGAAGTTTTATTCTGAAAATTTTAAATGAGGCGTGTCCTTATCTGTGACTGATTATCAAATGGACGCTCAGAGAGTGTAGTACTGTGCCTTTAGCTAGGACACTTCACAGTGATAACATTGACTGCTGTGGAAGCTTGAAAATAAATTGAAACAAAAAAATATATTGAGGCAAGCAACAGGCACGAGCACCTGGAAATAACCGAGACACATTATTGCTGCCACAAAGAAACTTTTTGTGTGTGTTTTCTAAAGGACTGTGACTGTGCATATGATCCACCATTCATAGGGAGATACAGTGTACATAGTGATAGAGATACCAACAACTCATGGAGGAGAAAAGAAAGGTTAAATAACAGAAAAAAAACAAGCCGAACTGTCTTGGACGGCAACACTGGACGAACGAGGGTGCCAGTGAGGCCAAGACCAGTAGTACAGCGAAGTGATTTTTTTTAATAGTATTAGTCTGCCACAAGGCCATGATCACTCACACATCTTAGTTCACTTGGAATACAATTAGTGGATGTTATTATAAAGGAAGTCATCCCAGCGAAGAGTAAATTTCTTCTTCAGAAGAAATTAAGTGCAAGACTCCGGTGGTTGGCACCTGACAAAGAGTCCTATATACAAGGGCAGGG